ATTTGAAAACAGTTTAGTCTCATCTGCAGTTCTATATCAAACTATGTTGTCATCTGTTTCCTTAAGAACAGCTTGTCCCCTTCTTGAATCTAAGGAAGAATATGACTTATTGTTGCACATTTCTTCACTGTTGTTTCCTTCATACATATGATCTTCAAACATTTCACTAGTTAGTATTATTATTTTTTTTTCTAAAATGTAAATAAATCCAATGCAATGGTGTTGGATGATGGATTCTCTTCATTTATACAATCTTGCCCTTACCAGGTGCATTTATCCCAGAGAGGCCTGTCAAGCCCCAGGCTTCTCATTTTTCTTGTAAACTCCCTTCATTGGCATCTAAAGTGGCATTAAACATATAGACATTTTGACCTTGAAGTCTTCTTGACTGAATGGAAAAGTAAGACCCCTTAAAGAATAAAAGAGGCAGGTCATAATCTTATGGTCATAAAATAAGATCCTGATTTCTTTTCAAATACTGTTGTGATTTTTCAGTGTCTATATTCACAGCCTTTTTGAGGAGTTACAGGTTTATTTCTTTCATTTCTTGAAAACGCCACTGAAGTATCAAAGGCTTATTTTTTCTTATCTTTTTTTAATTTATGGAAATGCTAGTTGTTGTCTTTGTATATCTTTACCCTTCCTGTTACCTTTCCCAATATCAAAATTATCCAAAATTCTACACTGTATAAACTTCTTCTTTAGCAAAGAGAATCAAAATGTTTTATTCTTATTAAGAGTACAGTGGTGAAAACTTAATTTACTTTTTTAACAGTCTCTTATTAGGAGAAAAGGAAAGTTGATTTTATAGTCTGAATCTGTACCTTCATAATATAATTATATATGCCTCACTGATAGAACACAATAAACTATATTCCACTGATACAATGCCCCAGTTTCATTTTTAATAAGTAAAGGGTTTTCAGTATTCCAGACAATTCATTCTTTGTTTGGCAGAGAATTCTAAAAATCCTTTACCTGCTGGATGTGTTCTACATTTCTTTACAGCACATAAAGCATTTAGGGCTAATTACTACCATTTCCTTTAAAAGCACGTCTGGGAAAACCGGAAAGAAAGCAGTACAGATTCCACCAATGCTGCTAAATGACAATGACTTATCCAGGGCCACAGAGTAGCAGCACATCTGCCGCACTTCAAGGCAGTTCCATATATTCAAGAATGGCTCCAGCGTAGAGACCACAGTGCAAGCTTGTGAACGTAGTGGCAAGTTTAGTGGCTCAGGTGTGCTTCTGAATTAGGAACCGAGTCAGAAAAGATTGTTTTCAAGTGGCTGAAATCCTTGGTATGTTCATGCATATTGGGTTGCACACAGTTGACAAGAAGATACAAAAGCATGGAGTCCGAATTGCAAAGCTTGTAAGCTGGTATTTTGCAGCTGATGAGCTGTAGTTCTGATATAGTAAACTTTTCTTGAGTGAGCCTCCTCTCAAAGCTACTATTCTGTCAGATTAATGCTGCATGAGTATCCCAGACCTCAGAAAGTGATGATGGCGCAGCTTGATGGCCAGTGTAAGCTTCTTGCCCCTTAATCATCACTATGTACGATTTTTTTTCCTCACTCAATTGTTCTTCCTTCATGTTCTCAGCTCTCTTTTCACAGTACTCACTGAAGCATCCTTCTTTTCCTTCACTGATCCTTCATTTGTAATCTCTTTAGTGACATTCCATTTTGAACCAGCTTTTTCAAAATGCAGTGTTCTAGCTGATTTGAAATCAAGCAGTTTGAATACATGTTTTGAATTAACAAATCCATATATGGGTATGTTACAGACTGATCAAAATTAAAACAACTGAGGCTGTTTATTTAAAAAGATAACATACATGCAAATTTATAAGGCTTGCCTTTAACCCTGTAAAAACCTTCAATTAGAATTAAACCTGCAGTTGACTAATCCCACCAGCTAAAACTCTGCAGGTGCAATGTAGTTTTAATGTCACAGAATACGGACCTTGTTACAGCACATAGGGAAAAGTTGTTGAGATTTGTGATCTACCCTGTTTTTGAAAATTTTTTACAATTATGTTGTTTTCCATGTCTTTGTATGTCTATAAATTATACAGAGATAAATTATTAAATATATAGCATTTAACTAGATTTTTTTTTCACATGTAGAATCCACTTCCTTTGTATCAGTCTCCAAACTATTCAAACACTCTTCTTCACCAAATCGCTTAACATATGTTGAAGGTTTTCAGTGCCGTTTAAATGCATATTTAAAGCTAAACATATGTTTATGTACTCTGACATGCATAAAAGCAGGTTACAGGCTGAATTAAGACATATGGGCACGGTCCTGTACCACTAAAGTCACTGGAAGTTTAATTATTGACTTTAGCTGTCACATGTAAGTACTAATGGCTGAAATCTGGGGCCTCATTTATAATACAGATACATTAGCCATTGCAAAAAAAAGTTTTAGACAGTTTAGTCTTGTCTACAATTCCAAAATATATTCTTAAAATGTGACTGTGTCAAAATCAGCACCCAAAATTTTGTATGAAGTTAGGCACCTTCTCCAGTGTGTGTAAGTCTTGAATATGTGCGTGTATTATGCATAGTAGGTATAATAATTCTGAGCTGTTTCACTTGTATGTGAATTAACATCCTGGATTCTATGGCGAATGTAAGCAGATCAGAGTAAAGAATGAGCACTACTTCATCCCTAATCATTTTCCCTAACTGGTTCTCTTGCATTAACACTACTTTCACCATAATGTCTACAGTAAAATGGTTTCTTGAAAACTTTTTGATTATCATATGAAACAAGTTATGAATACTACCTTTTTTCATGGCGTTTAAATCTGTCTTGAAAGACTTGTTTAACTTTTAATGATTTTTCTCCAGAATTGCCTTAACTTTTTTAAACTAAAGCTGATATTTGCTCATGAATGAATGACATCAATTGATATGTACTTTCTTTTCTTTGAGGTGATTGATGTAATTCTGTATTAAAGTGACCTTTTTTAGAAATGTTTTGACTATAACGATTTCCTGTCCTTTTTGCTTAGCAATCAGAACAGCAGAACTAGCATAAACCTGTTTCAGTGGCTTGATGTTAATGCCTGAAGGGAAGTGAGATGCACATGTGTGTGCATGTGGAACTGGTGGCAGTGAATACAGGTAAGAGCTAGTACTGGTGAAATGTGGAAGTTACCACAGTAACCTGTGAGGTGCTCAGGGTGTGGTAAGAAAGGGAACATGAGCATCACATGAAAATATGATTAAATGTTATCTTGAATTTGTTTACATTAAATTTCGCAGCAAGAAGTTTAGTTTTCAAGTGAGCTATGCTTCTAACACACTTATGGGCTGATTCTTGTTTTTCTGTAAGGCTGATCGATGATTCTATTGGGAGATCTGGAGAAACTGTGATTGATGCTTACAAATTATGTAGTTATAGAAACATATCTGTATCTCTATGAAAATGATAGCTCCTTATGTGAAAGTACCTCTGTACATGCTTTCCTAATCCTAGATGTATAAGGATGGCAGTGACTTCTTGGAGTTTTGGGGTCAGCATCTTATTAAAGATACTCTAATTCAAAAGGGAGAAGTATGTGGTAAATTTTACCGCAACGATTTTTTTTTTTTTTCTAACAGCATATGTCAAAACTTCATACTACTCAGTTAAAAACTACTAACAACAACAACAACAACAGAAAAGTGATTTCCCACAGTTCAGGTCTTAGGTGCTTGGATGACTTACCCCATTTTATCACTCTGGCTGTAGAATGTGTAAGCAATACTCTAGGTTTATTTCCATATGAATACCTTGAATTATTGTATTGATATACGCAGGATACTCAGAGCAAGGAGAACTCATTATGGGGATCCTTTTCTTCTTTTTTTTCCACATTTTTATTTTCTGTTCTCACTGTAGACAAGAAAATAAGCTTTAATGTGTAAAGCCAAGCTTATTGTCTCTTGTTTGTAGGAAGAGGGATAGAAAAATTACTTCTGTGATATTATTTCAACTGTGAAGTGCACTTCTTCATAACAACGCTGTGATCTTAATATTACAGTAAATAAATAAGAAATAAAGCATATAACAGAATTAACAGGATCTGCTTAAAAATAAGGTTGTAATTATAAGCTATCCTACTACCAGGATTTATTTCATAGAGCATATGGCTTCTCTAATTAAGAGGAACACTTTTATTTTTCTATCTTTTAATCTTTTAAGCTGAACGTAATACTTTAAGTTCTTTTCATGTATTACCCAACTTGTCAAATATGCCTGCTTTTGCATGTAATTTATTTCTCTGTTCTACTTCCTCTTGTTAGAGGCTGAATTTTATAAATAAATAAATAAGACATATAAAAAATTGCTTTAGAAGTTAAGGCTGGACTTTCATTTAAAATTCTTCCTTTATTCTATATCTTCAGATTATAATTCAGAAGTTTAGTAATTCCATCTGTTTGAACATGTTCATCTGACCTTTGCCATTTATTTATAATTGCTGTCTCCCATTTCTTTTTTTTTTTTTTTTAGGATGATGCATTTGTTGTATAATTATTGCTTTGTCAGATACCCTGAATGTAATTTGAATAAAAACATTGCAAATTGCTGTTATTGTTGCAAAAATGTATGACGTGTAATTTGCCCCTTTAGAAAACAGCATTCTGTCTTTTGCTCTATTGTCTACATAGTGAGAAAAATCTTGAATTAATTTAAGTAGACTGTCAATCTAGGAGATACATTTTATGAGAAAATAGGTTGAGATTTACTACCTTACTTTGTGAAGTGTATCTACTAGGAGGCCTAAATCTTGCCATAGCTGCTAATCAGCATGAATACTTTGTTTGTAATTTAGGTTGGACATGAGAGAATTCAAGAAACATTCTTGACAAGTAGATGCAACCTTGGACATAAAGAAGATTCTGGTGCTGACATAAGGTCTTGTGTCATGAAACAAAAAAGTTCTAGCAAATTATAGCAAGCTAAGAGAAGCTAGGCATCTTGCAATGTTCACGCTTCTTTGCTGTAGTGTTTTCCAGCGTTGCACATGGACAAGCATCTGGACTTCAGGGCAAGTCCAAAGATAGATGTTGCAACAAACATAGCTCTGGAATAAAAACACCTGAAAATATCTCAGAAGAGCTGGCTATATGTTTTGGTAGGTATTTCTTGAAAATAATCCCATTACATCCTGAGTAGCTGTCTTGAGTTGTCTATAGCTCTTGACCATTCAGGTAGTTTCTGGAGTGCTTATCCCTTATTTCTTTGGGGAAATGAAGTTAGCTGCTACCCAGCAGTTCTCTTGTCCTTCTCTAAGAAGCAATGAGTTGAATAAGTCTTGCGTTCCCTGTCCCCAACCTGCCACCTTGCATTAAGGCAGTTGTTAGTTCACAAGTCATCCCACTATCTTCAGTAGGATTTCTCCTGTAAGTACTATGTACTTTATATTGGAGAGGTGGCTGAATCAGATCTAATATACATACAGGTCTGTTATAATATTTGATATTGTCTCGAATTTACCAGCAGCTGTTTTCTTCCACATAGTGGTGTAACTCGGGATCAACAGAATGACTTATTTTTAAAAAAAGTTTGCTCATGAATCTCTTGTTTGAATTCCAACATCCTTCTTTTTCTAAGGAAAGCACAATAGGAGCAAACGAAAATCCCCAAATATAATCAGTGGGAAAAAAAGTAAAGGAAATTTCAGATCACTAACAAACTGTGTATTTTCCATGCTATATGTCTTTTTCATGTGCTAATTTTAGCAAAACGAACTTTATCCAAAATATTGTTTTCTTTTTTTTAAATAATAAGTGAGGCATATTTGCAATAAATTCTTTTTAGTAATGAGTCCAGCCTGTCCTCTTTGTCCTTCTTCTGTACATCATTATTAGTACATCGTTCAAGTGATCTTAGTCATCTACTGTAAAGTGAAGTTTTTCTGTATCTCCACTGTTAGAACTGCTGAAGTTTTCTGCTTGCATGTATATGAATATTTATATAGATGATATTTTCAAGATTTCTTGGACCTTAGGTTCTTTACGAAGAATAATATTCAGATTTAAATGAATTAAAACAATTTCCTTGAAATTTATTGTGAAACCTCAACACTGTGTATAAACTAAAGCTTCCACAGAAATGTAGAATTGAGAATGCCCAATTTAGGTGAAGGTGTTAAGGACTGTTCATTTGGTTATGTATCTAGTAATAGAAGCACACATGTACTCCAATGTAAAAGTTGTAAGCATGTTATACAAACAGCTAACCTGTAGGTAAAAGCCAATTTAAGAATGAGCTGTTAGCTACTACTTGCCTTCTCAAATTGGAATTTGAAGTTTCATACAAGAGGTCTTCAGCAGAGTCACATGGACTGTGAATTTTTTGGATATTCTTTAATTATATCTATAAAAAGGGAGGGAGTACTGAAGCGTATTCTTTCCAGTGCTTGAGCTGTAGATGTCAGCAACTGAAGATTTAAACCAATATTGTTCTGAGAGCAGAATGTCATGCATTTTGCATTCAAGTCTTGTATCTGACCATATTCCTTTTGTATCTACTCACGCTCTCAGTGAGAAGAGCTGTAACAAATGCTATGCACTAAGATTTGTGGCAATGTGACATACTTGATAAATTATACGTAAAATGCACAGAATTCTACATCTGAATGATGCTTAGGAAGTTACAGTCTAGTCAGGAATATTTTTTTTTACTTTCAAAGGAAAGCTTTAGCAAAGGTGCTTTTGGCTTCTTATCCATTCTTTGCTACTACCCAAAACTCCCTCCTGAGGGTCATCTACAAAATCCAAATTTGTGAGTAAGCATGAAATAGATTTGCCAAGCTGCTGTCCACAAAGCACGTAACAACCTATTCTGTGAAAGGTGGAGGAAAAAAACAGATGGTTATAGCTTGAACATTTATTAGATTTCAAATATTAATTTGTTTAAAAGGGGATTATGTAGTTTAAATAAAGTAATTTAAAATTCATGTGAGACTCGGGAACCATTTCATCTGATCTTTGTGGAATATAACAGAGGTAAAAATTTTGGGTGCGTGTATAAGCATATATATATGTGTGTGTGTGTACATATGTGTGTGTTTATATATATATATATATGCACACATATCAGCAAAATAACTAGTAACATTACAATGGCTGAAATAGATGGCTTTCTCTAGCATCTCAGGGTCTCTTGTGTGAACTCCCTGAAAAGGAGCCTTTGTTTCCATAGGCAACAGAGTCACTGTGGCACTATGGATCAAACACATCCGGATTTACTTTTATGCCTCTGAGGTAAACAGTTGCCTGCTGCACTACATAAATACTGAAAGGAAAACTCTCCTGGTAAAAGACCTGACCAGCATGAACTGAGGGTAACTATGGGCTGCTGAGAAGAGCCTAGCTCAGGCAGCTCCCTGATAAAAATACCCTGGGCAAATGCTACATGTGTTGCCATTTTTGCCTTTCTGTCTTTTGTGTGAATTTCACAGCTTAGACTGATTAAAAAATAACAATAATTTTGTGTGTGTGTGTGTGTGTGTATCTTTCATGTTATCATCTCTGCTTTCCCACTTCCATGAAGAGTATGCTTTGTCTTGTTACAGTTATGTTGGTGAAAAAATTATCAATATTTTTACTTTTCATGGTTTGAGTTACAGAATCTGAGAACTGCAGCATTACATCTCAGCCATCCCAAACTGTTGTAGAAGCAGCTAAAAGGAAAGTTTCAGAAGAAAAAGGGCAAATCTTGCTTCTGTTTGAAATCATATCCTTACAATTTAATGGTACTGGAATAAATTCAAGCAACATATTATAAATGAATGCACATGAATAATGACCTTTAAATAAAAGAACTAGATGTCTTATGATTGTTGTTGTACAAGAAATATGAAGATCACAGAGAAATGTTAGCTACTGACAGGTAATGTTTGATTTTGCTGAATTTGCTTATTCATCTGACTAAAAAAAGTCATACTATGCAGTCTATTTTATTATTTTTTTAAATCTTGCTAATGTTTTTGTTCTCTTGAAGGCAGGCTTTCAGAGGTGCAAAGCACAGAGGCACTGTATGTTCCAGTGGTTCAATACAAGCAAAGTCTGATCTTAAATACACAAAAAATTAGATGCTGAGGTAAGAATTTTATTTACTGATTGATTGAAATTGATTGGTATTCACTCTCATGGAACTGAAACCACTTTTAATCCAGAAAATGATAAAAAATATCAGACTTTTGCCTCTGTTCTATGGAGATTTTTATAAAACTTATTCATCTTGCTGCTAAAAATGCTGTGGTAAGTAGCTTAATGAGAAGTCAGACATTGACCTGTACACAGAAGTTTGCAGAAGAGTGTTGGCTGTAAGAGTTTTCAGAGGCAGGGAAGTTGGGAAGCTCTCCTGTCAAAAGGTTGCTTCCCTCCTAAGGGTGCTGATTGCTCAGATGTGGTACCACAGATGCTAAAATGGGACTCAGCCTGTCCCTTTATTATCCTAGGCCTCCTTTTGCAGTCTATTTCTGCTAGACTAACTTCTCTTCAGGAATGGGTGCTGGAAGGTGCCCTTCTGTCTTTGACTTTCTCTGTCAAGAGAGGTTAGGCAGTGTGATATTTTTATCTCTGCTGTTCTTGTCACGGACAAAGTCTTGGAATTCATATAAATATTCTGTTTTTTTTTTTTTTTTCTAATTAAGACTATTGAATAAATTAACTATTAAGAACAAAGCTAGGTGTCATTTTAAGGCAGAAACATGATAATTATGTCACAAAGAGAATGCATTTTTTTGACTTCTGCATCCTAGATCTGTACCACCTTTTCTGGTTAGCATGAAAGCTTTTCAAGGTCAGCAATGCCATATGGGTGATGACAAGCCTCAGGTAGGCTTATATTAAATGTGTCCTCAGTGGTCAGGTTAATCTTTTCATTTGTGATTCCTTTCATAAATGAATGCATGTAAAGACATTGCCTGTGTTAGAGAAGTAATCTTTGAATCTTTAAAAAATCAAGGCAGTCTATTTTTCTAATAAGAGACTATAACCCTTGCATTAAAAGCCATAAAATTCATTATAATAATCTTTTTGTGCTTTATTTATCAAAATGAAAACTCTGGATACACTGCTTCCATGTTGTTTAGATGTAAAAAGTGTAGAAGGATAAATAAAAATGGGGCAGCTTATCTGCACTTTTAAATTTAATCCAAAATTGCACACTACATCTGACCTAAATAGGTTAAAAAAAAATAATAATAATAAAAATCAGATTACTAGTGTCTTGAAAGTGGAGATCACTTCAGAAACTATTGGGGTGAACCCTGTAGTCCTTATATGATGTTGTGAGCTCAGCCTGCTACTTTCACATCATTTTAATAAGAAGCTGATTTTCTTTAGCATGAGTGGTATTTGGTGTTATTTTGCAGAGATTTTCAATGGTCAGAGTACTATTGCCGAAACCATTTTAGCTGCCAGAGAGTCTTGGATTGTTATTCTTTTCTTCTGAAAAACAGAAGTCTGACTTATTCCTTAAGATTTCTGCATTGTAATCATGCAGGAGTCACAGATTTCCCTGTCCATGAAATTGAACATATAAAGCAATCTTTTATCTTTCTAAATATTTTTAGCCTTGTTTCTTTACAAAAATAACATTTTTTTGCGTTTGTTTGATCTATGTGTATGTCTAAATGTCTCGTCTAATAACTTTTGAACTTGATACCTGATGTCAACCAAGTTTGACAGAAGGGCAGAAGTATCAAATATAATTGAGTTCTTGGTAGTATTGTAAAAATAAGACCCCATAAGCACTTTGAAAGAGAGAAAAACAGTAGAGAGAGCTCATGTTTTGTGAGAGGTTATGAATTCATGTACCAGAGGAAAATCTCGACTCAGGGCTTAAATAATGAGGTACAAATCCACAGGAAATCAAGCTGCATTTATTTCAGGCTTCATTGTTTCACTTTTGTTTATAATAACATCTTATGGGATTTAGAGATAAAAAAAAATTTAATTTCATGTATTTGTCTTTATTTACTCTATTTAGTTTTTGCTGTTCAAGCTCACTGATGAGGGATTTTTTTCTTCATTTTTGTCCACATTTAATCAAGCATCAATTTATGAGAGGTGCAAATAGTATTTGATCTTTAATTATTTCAATTCTGATATAGCATGCTCTGAAAGTATTTCTCTACCTTTTTGTGTTTTTGCATTGCAAAGACCATCATATATGAAAATTGATTGAAAAAATCTGCAATCAATGTGCTGTGGCATGACACTGATTCTGGGTCTTTGTAATAAAGCTGGAGAAATCATTCTGAACCATCTTTTGTTTAGTAGGCATTTTGCTTTCTCTGGGTGTGTGAAGGGATTTTATATCAGTGCTGTTTAAAAGCAATGCTAGAGAGAAATTCCCAGACTTGAGAGCTGTTTGAACATGCAAGAAAAAGCATTTACCTTTTCTAGTCAAATTCTTCTCTTACCAAGGACCATCTTAATGCCCTGTACCCTGCCTACTCTGGGACAAAGCCTAGCATGTGTTCTTGGACTTGATCTTTACTAGTAAGACTGACCTTTAGGAATACTGGATCCAACACTACTTAACATCTTCCTTACTGACCTGAATGATGGGGCAGAGCACATCTTGTGCAGCTTTGCTAAGGACAGGACTGGAAGGAGTGTTGGATACACCAGGTGGTTGTGCTGTTATTCAGTGTTGACAGAAATCTCAGGACGTGTTCAAAAAATGAAAATTCTAAGTTCTGCACCTGGAGAAGAGTAATCCCATGAGGTACAACTTTTGAGGTCCAACCAACTGGAAATCAGCTCTAAGAGTTTATAAATACTGAAGAGAGGATGTAAAGAGAATGGAGCCAGGCTCATTTCAGTAATGATCAATTACAGTGGGACAAGAGGGAAAGGGTGCAGAGTGAAATGCAGAGAACTCATTTTAAAGATAGGGGAAAAAATAAAACCTTCTTTACTGTCAGGACAATGAAATATATGAAGAGGTGTCTTAGGTGTCTTGTGAAGACTCCATCCTTGGAGGTATTCGAAATCCGAATAGACATAGCCCTGAGTAAGCTGCAGTAGCCACTAAGCATGGGGCTGAACTAGATGATCTCCAGAGGTAGACAAACAATTGTGTTTTCAAGTTTATTTGCTGAATTGCTTTGCTTTTGTCAAGAATAAGACATGCAAAATACACTGATGGGCAAATGTTTGTTACTGACCTGCACAACCTTGAGCTAATAAAAGTGGGAATAAAAAAGAAAAAAGTTCCTTTGTGCTGGGCAAAAGCTGATGGTTAAATTATGCAAGATATTTATTGGGGAGGAATTCCTTACAGGTATGCTCCAATTTTCTTCTTTCAGTTGTGAAATATAAGTTTGCTTTCTGCTTACATCTATTGACAGACACACGAGTCTCTTCTAAACTCACCATACTGAAATGTCGAGTTTCTGCAAGCCATTACAGACTAAATTGTGGGTTTTTTTTGTTTATTTTTTGAAGTGTTTCTTGTCCTAGAGACACAAGAGATTTGTCTTTATAATTTTTAGTCCTTGAATATGGTTATCTTTTCAGCAGCAATGTGTGACTCCCAGCATTCCTTTTCTACTGAAAATATGAATGTAAAACCCTACATTATTTATTCTTTCTGAAGTGAATTACAACCTGCAGTTGCTAAGAGGCAGCGACAAGTTAAAGAGCAATTTAATTGTAGACGTTTTTCTCTTTACTCCTTTAACTTTTTCCTAAGGGATGGATAAATGCAACAGGCAGCTGAACAGTAAAGGAGCAATTCTGGAGACAGAGACAAGTGGAGACAAAGTCAGAAGTACTTTGACTCTAAGAGGAGGAAAGTCATAATGTAAGACAATCTCTAGCAAAGCAGATACTTGAAATTACTTTATTCAAGGTTGCTAGTATGACAGAATTTACACTTAAAATATGAAAATTTTGGTATCAACTGGTAATTTTAGCTTAGGGATTTAATTAGCATTAGGGAGAACTTAAAGTAATTATCCCCTTGTTAATGCGTGAGCAGAAATATCAGCTTCCAATTTCGTTCTGTAGTACCTCTGCCAGCTTATGCCAGAGAACTTTGTGAAGGAAACAAGAATTGGGTTAAAGAAAAATCAAGATAATAGGAAAATACTTCAGTAGGTCACTACGTCTGTTCAAATAGTATGGTCTCAGGCAAGCCTGTGATGCTGTAGTTAAATTCTTACTAGTATTCATGTTTGCTTGAGGTTACCATGGACAGTTAGCACCTTCTCTGAATGAGAGTGTGCAGAAGAGACTGGTTTTTTGGCTTGCTTCAAACATATTAATGAACTTACCAGCACGTTTAGAATGAATTAAAAACTTGAAGAGTTTGCTTCCTTGGTATTAAAAACTCCTATGGGCTTTTCTATCCAATCCATTATTTGCACGTCACCAGAGGAACTTTCCATACAGAGTCCCTTACCATGTTGTCCTCAACAAGGTGGGAGTAACCTGTCTCCTATCAATGAATCTTTACAAGGTGTCTACAATAATTATGTTGTCCACACATTATAACCACAACTAATGACAACCCTATAATCCTGAATTGTGCAAATTGTAAACTGTAGTGCATTACAGCAGTGCGATCTTTTTCTGCTGACTGAAGATACTCTCCTTGATATGTAGCATAAGAAGCACCTGAAAGGGTTTAGAGCAAGTTATATTACCACCTTCTCTAAGTTTCACTTTACAAACCAACACAAGACTGAAAGCTCTTTGTATGGATGCTCACAACTACTGAAGTCCAGAGCATTTGAAT